GAACCGACTCGATGGCACTTAACAACAACAATGTACATATATAAATATGTGTGTGTGTATATATATATATATATAACTTATACACTGAGTCTAATAATACTATGTAACAGAACGGTGTGAATTTACCGGTGTCAGTTTCATTAGACTCCTTTGTAGGGCAAGTTACTTTTTTTTTTTTTAAGCTATTTCATTGGAATTATGTTTAGAATGCAGATACATTTAAAGTTAAGAGCTATTACAGTCTGTTACAGTATAGAAGGCACCTGCTTTTGAAGTAGTTTAAAATAGATACTGGGATTTAAAATTTTTTCTTTTTATAAACATCAGAAAATTAAATTAGTTGACTCAACAGTGGTATGAAATATCATCTTAAAATGTGAAAATCTAAGCTCAAATATAAGCAACTTTTTAACAAAGTCATAAAAGCCAGCGTGCTTTTTTTTTTTTTTTTTTTAAGTCTTTCTTTTCTGTCTAGTTAGCACAATCTAAAATACTAAAATGTTCAGGTTGAAAAATCTCAAGTGAGTCTTGAGGCTGCACAAATACAGAATTCCAGTGCATGACAGCCATGCTCAACCAAATCTTCTAAAGTAACCTTCCTTTTATTTTCTTTCTATATTATGAGAATATCAGATGTTTGCAAGTTATAAAGAATTAAAATACCCTTTAATCGTAAACACAGATGTGCTAAATATTTGAAGCAACTACATTGTAATGTGTACAATTGATGAAGTCAGTTTTCTGATTTCCCTTGCTAGTTATTTAGTTCTGAATCTGTCATTATTTGTCTAAGCCCAGCTGACCAAGCAAAACTGTGTTTTAAAGTGGCTTTATGTTTTGATAAATGTGAGCTGGTTGAAAAGTATTTTCCACTGAATGCAGAGCTTAATAGAACATGCTGACATAATAGTTTTAATGCATTTTGTTGAAAATGTGTGAACAAACAGAATAGCTTTTGTTCCTTCATAATTGGCTGTAAAAGTAGATGGAAACATAACCATTACATATGGAAATGTGCAAAGAGAAAGAAATAACATTTCTGTTGAATATATTAGGAATTGCATTTCCTAGTTTAAAATAAGCATCTGAAATGGATGCATCATTTAAAATTGGTTGTCAAAATAAGAAGCTTTAAACAGAATTTTTGTCACATTATTTTTGTCCCAAGTTAAGCAACATAACTTTAGTGAATTTTGTTTAATATTTTGTTTATCAGGTTTAAGGCAGGGAGAGAGACAGAAATTGCTTAAAATAGAACCTTAGATATGCATAGGAATCCAGTGCCAATTAGGATGATTAAACATTAAATTAAAACTGAGTTTTACTTGTATTCTGGGCTGAACCTAAGATTTGTTTGGTGGTGTTAATGCATTGTACACTATATCCTATTGGAAACTAAAAAATGAATATTTAGGAAAGCTAGTTAAATATAATGTAACCACTGAAGTAATGCTCCCAGTGAATAAAGTGTACATGCATAAGGCATATTTTGTCAGAGGTCCTGAGTCTTGCCATCACTCAAGGCAAACAGAGTACAGGAATTTTTAGAAGTTAATATTAGGGTGTTAGTTCTATTTTCTGGAATGCAAAATCACTTACACTTTTTTGATATTTACTAAAAAGGCGAAAGTACGGGTCTTTTTTCAGTTGACTCCTAAGTTTACCGAACAGCAACATTTTGATACTGCATTTAATCATATCTGCAATTGCTTTCTTTTTCTCTGCAAGTTATTCAATTTGGAAGTCATGGAAACTACCTATTATCTGATTCAGTTCTTGGGGGAAAAAAAAAGCATGCAGGGAAGTAATCCTTGAATTAAACAGTTTTTTTGTTTTTTTTTTCACAGCCTTCCAAGATGACCACACACCATTTGTACAACAGAAGTTGGTGTTCCCCATGCTGGGCAAACAATGGGACGCCATCCTGTCTTTGAATAGAATGTTAGCCTGGAGTTAGAGATTTTTATGTTTAATTTACAAATGGATCTTAGGAGAAATCTGAGCAACCAGTGGAAACAAATGAAATAAAGGGATTTTATAATGAAAGGTTCAGGACAATCTGTTAAACAATTGATAACAGTTAAAAGCAAACTGGTTTTAAAGGCATTCTGACAAGGAGAACTGCAGAGCATTTCCAAATTCTAAACCAAGAATGATTTCTTAGGGGATGGGAGCAGTTCCTTGTAACTGCACATCTCTCTTTAAGTTGATATTTAATCAGAAGTATAACTCTTGTGCCAGTTTTTATAGCTATAAAGAGTACTTTTGATGAAATATTTAGAGGCGTAGTATTGTTATTTGGAGCATATTGGCATATATTCCAATGGAATGGTAGCCTAGGTTGCATTCTTTCATTTTAAAACTCAACTTGCAATGGGGTGATAGACAGGTGCCACACAGGCCTTGGAAGGAATTGTGATGGTTGTGTTTCTCATTATTGTCTCTGCTGCTTTTCCCTTTGCATTCAACTGGGTCTGAAGGAGCAACCGTGGAGGTTCTCCACTGCTGTGACTTAAGTGTGTTTGTCATGGATCCGACTCTGCTCAGGTGCTAGGTGGGGCTGAAGGTGATTTCCAAGTTGTCAGTCTACAGCTTAGTGAAATGCATTTTTTTTTTTTTTTGCCCCTTGTCAACAACTGATTGGAACTTGAATGACTACAAATTAGTTTAGTGACAGAACACAGATATCTTTGAATCAGTTGAAAATGAATAAGGTTGACAGAAACTCAAGAGCCTAATGAGTCCTCAGAATGGGTCCAGACACTCTGCGGACAAGTTGACAATAAGGTGTACAAAATATTGGAAATCAATATTTTGCTATGGAATTTCATTATACACCATTGTTTTCAGTTCATAGAATTTTATATTTTGATGGATTATCTGACGTCCATGACTCTTGAAAATATCAGATTGCTAGGAAATCCTCCCACTCCTTAAAAATTAATTATGAATGTCTTGGGCAATATTGATTGGTTTTCAGGGGATACCGTTTTGAGGTTTGCAGGTAGAAAACAATGAACGAACCCTTTTTCCTTTTTTTTTTTTTAAATTCCTAGATAACTGTTAAGGCTCCCTCTCTAACTGTGCCTTTTGATGTTTGTAGGAGACATGGAAAAGGGTCAACCAAATGGAACCACTAAGAACAAGGATGCCCACGTCTGTGGCAGGTGCTGTGCCGAATTCTTTGAATTATCAGATCTTCTGCTCCACAAGAAGAACTGTACTAAAAATCAATTAGTTTTCATCGTAAATGAAAATCCTGCTTCCCCTCCTGAAACCTTCTCCCCCAGGCCCCCGTCTGCTAATCCTGATGAACAAATGAATGACATAACTAACAAAACAGATCAAGTAGACTGCAGTGACCTTTCAGGACACAACGGGCTTGACAGGGAAGAGTCCATGGAGGTGGAGGCCCCAGTAGCTCATAAAAGCGGCAGCAACGGTAGTACCACCCCCAGCTGCAACGGCAGCTCCTCCACAGGTACCTCAGCTACCACAACCTCACTACCTCAACTCGGGGACCTGACAACACTGGGCAATTTCTCCGTGATCAACAGCAACGTCATCATTGAGAACCTCCAGAGCACCAAGGTGGCGGTGGCCCAGTTCTCCCAGGAAGCGAGGTGCAGTGGGGCCTCTGGAGGCAAACTGGCCATACCAGCCCTCATGGAGCAGCTCCTAGCATTGCAGCAACAGCAGATTCACCAGCTGCAACTGATCGAACAGATTCGCCACCAAATATTGCTGTTGGCTTCACAGAATGCAGACTTGCCAACATCTTCTAGTTCTTCTCAAGGTACTTTACGAACATCTGCCAACCCCTTGTCCACACTAAGTTCCCATTTATCTCAGCAGCTGGCGGCAGCAGCTGGATTAGCACAGAGCCTCGCTAGCCAATCTGCCAGCATCAGTGGTGTGAAACAGCTACCCCCAATCCAGCTACCTCAGAGCAGTTCTGGCAACACCATCATTCCATCCAGTAGTGGCTCTTCTCCCAATATTAACATATTGGCGGCAGCAGTGACTACCCCGTCCTCAGAAAAAGTGGCTTCAAGTGCTGGGGCCTCCCATGTCAGCAACCCAGCAGTCTCCGCATCACCTTCACCAGCTTTTGCAATAAGCAGTTTATTAAGTCCTGCATCTAATCCACTTCTACCTCAGCCGGCCCCTGCTAACTCGGTTTTCCCCAGCCCTTTGACCAACATTGGAACAACTGCAGAGGACTTAAACTCCTTGTCTACCTTGGCCCAGCAGAGAAAAAGCAAGCCACCAAATGTCACTGCCTTTGAAGCAAAGAGTACTTCGGATGAGGCATTCTTCAAACACAAGTGCAGGTTCTGTGCGAAGGTCTTTGGGAGTGACAGTGCCTTGCAGATCCACTTGCGCTCTCATACCGGAGAAAGGCCCTTCAAATGCAACATCTGTGGGAACAGGTTCTCCACCAAGGGAAACCTCAAAGTCCACTTTCAGCGCCACAAAGAGAAATACCCTCATATCCAGATGAATCCATATCCTGTGCCTGAGCATTTGGACAATATTCCCACAAGTACCGGGATTCCATATGGCATGTCCATTCCCCCTGAGAAGCCAGTCACCAGCTGGCTGGACACCAAACCAGTCCTGCCTACTCTGACCACTTCGGTTGGCCTGCCATTGCCCCCAACTCTCCCTAGCCTCACACCATTCATCAAGACGGAAGAGCCAGCCCCCATCCCCATCAGCCATTCTGCCAGCCCAGCAGGCTCAGTCAAAAGTGACTCTGGGGTCCCTGAGCCAACCATAAGAAACCCGACTGCCTTCCTTGAGGAAGCGGAAGGATCCACTCTGCCACCCTCCAGTGGCAAAATCGAAGAAAGCAGTGTGGTCATCAGCTCCATCCCAACAGCAAGCAACAGCTCCCTGAGCTCTCCAGCTGGGGACTCTGGGTCAGGCAACACTGCCACATTCACCAACCCGCTGTTGCCACTCATGTCAGAGCAGTTCAAGGCTAAGTTCCCATTTGGGGGACTGCTGGATCCGGCCCAGGCATCAGAGACATCCAAGTTGCAGCAACTGGTTGAGAACATTGACAAGAAGGCAACTGACCCCAACGAGTGCATCATCTGCCACCGAGTTCTCAGTTGTCAGAGCGCCTTGAAAATGCACTACCGGACACACACTGGGGAGAGGCCCTTTAAGTGTAAGATCTGTGGCCGGGCTTTCACCACGAAAGGGAATCTGAAAACTCATTATAGTGTCCATCGGGCTATGCCACCACTCCGAGTCCAACATTCCTGCCCCATCTGTCAGAAGAAGTTCACCAACGCTGTGGTCCTGCAGCAGCACATCCGAATGCACATGGGAGGCCAGATTCCCAACACCCCGATCACAGAGAGCTACCCGGAATCCATGGAGTCAGATACAGGCTCCTTTGATGAAAAGAATTTGGATGACCTTGACAACTTTTCTGATGAAAACATGGAAGATTGTCCTGAGGGCAGTATTCCCCATACGCCCAAGTCTGTGGATGCATCCCAAGACAGCTTGTCTTCTTCGCCTCTGCCCCTAGAGATGTCGAGCATTGCTGCTTTAGAAAATCAGATGAAGATGATCAATGCTGGCCTAGCAGAGCAGCTGCAGGCCAGCCTGAAGTCGGTGGAAAATGGGTCCATCGAGGGGGATGTCCTGACCAACGACTCGTCCTCGGTGGGAGGTGATGTGGAAAGCCAAAGTGCTGGGAGCCCAGCCATTTCAGAGTCTCCCTCTTCCATGCAGGCTCTGTCCCCATCCAACAGCACCCAGGAACTCCACAAGTCAGCCAGCATGGAGGAGAAATCTCAGAGAGCATTAACAAGTGAGTTTGCCAATGGTTTATCACCCACCCCAGTGAATGGTGGAGCTTTGGATTTGACCTCTAGTCATGCAGAGAAAATCATCAAAGAAGATTCCCTGGGAATCCTCTTCCCTTTCAGAGACCGGGGTAAATTTAAAAACACTGCTTGTGACATTTGTGGCAAAACATTTGCTTGTCAGAGTGCCTTGGACATTCACTATCGAAGTCATACCAAAGAGAGACCATTTATTTGCACAGTTTGCAATCGTGGCTTTTCCACAAAGGGTAATTTGAAGCAGCACATGTTGACACATCAGATGCGAGATCTACCATCACAGCTCTTTGAGCCCAGTTCCAACCTTGGCCCCAATCAGAACTCCGCAGTGATTCCCGCCAACTCGCTGTCATCTCTCATCAAGACAGAGGTCAATGGCTTTGTGCATGTTTCTCCTCAGGACAGTAAGGACACCCCCACCAGTCACATCCCTGCTGGGCCTCTGTCATCCTCTGCCACATCCCCAGTTCTGCTCCCCGCTTTGCCCAGGAGAACTCCCAAACAACACTACTGCAACACATGTGGGAAAACCTTCTCCTCTTCGAGTGCCCTGCAGATTCACGAGCGAACCCACACTGGAGAGAAGCCCTTTGCTTGCACTATTTGTGGAAGAGCTTTCACGACAAAAGGCAATCTGAAGGTACCTCACCCCCCACTCCCACCCCGCCCACCCCTACGTCCCTTTCTCACTGCCCTGATGATTGGTAATGCATGCGCCCAGAGTCATGGGCCCAGATATTTAGGGAGAGAATTCCCACAAGGGAACCTGCCAGATGGGGCCTACAGTTGAGGTGTGGGTGCCTGTGAGCCTCAGGATTGTGGCAGGGACAAGGGCAAGTTGCAGCTTGCTGAATGTCAGCGTGCACTGAATAATTTGGTACAGCCGTGGAGCAGCGGCATATCTCTGTTGTCTTGCTAAGTGCACCAAATGAATTGCTTTACCTACCAAATAAGACAGCCCAGCGTTGCCATGGGGTATTGATTAAAGACCTCCATGTGGCCTGTGTGCTGCCCGTATCACTTAATAATTACCGTGCTCTTTGGCGTGTGCATCTATTTTTCATAACTATGCAGTCTAGCATGGCTTGTTTTTCTAAAAAAAAAAAAAATTAATAACGTCACTGCGCAGCTAATGGGTATTATGATAATTGATTGTACAACATTTCCTACTGATGTGTTGGAAATAAAGCAAATATGCTTAAGTTCTAGAGCAACAGTTGAATGCTCTTACTGTGTACATTTTTCTGTTGACAGAGTATTTCTCCAGAGATTGCTGCCAGTAATGCAAGATGAATAATTACTTTCAGGGTTTTCTCGCTATATACGGGCCCTTCAGTGGGCAATCAGTGACGGGTACTTTCTTCCCATCTGAAAAGGACATTTATAGGGTAAAGGGTGTCAGATACAATATTTACCATTGCAATGAGAGTGGACATAACAATTGTAACCCTGAAAGGAGCTATCTGCTACTGGCTGGCTTGCTTGAGGCCATTATAAGCTAAATACAGGTAATAAAAACAGAGTAAGTAAGGCAGGAAGAGAAAAGGAGATGCAGGGCTTCGGAGAGGGGACACGTTATTACTAGTCCATGGGAGTGGATGGTTCCCGTTCCCTTTTCCACTGTCGGTCACTTAATAAGAATAGACATTTAGGCCACTTGCTTTGTCTAGTGTTGGGATATGAGTTGAGACAGATTCTACTATTAAGTTTCTCCCTCCCTCTTCCTTTTTTCCTTTCGCTGTCTCTGCATGTCAGGTACACATGGGCACTCACATGTGGAATAGCACCCCTGCACGGCGAGGTCGGCGGCTCTCTGTGGATGGCCCCATGACATTTCTAGGAGGCAATCCTGTCAAGTTCCCAGAAATGTTCCAGAAGGATTTGGCGGCAAGATCAGGAAGCGGGGATCCTTCCAGTTTTTGGAATCAGTATGCAGCCGCGCTCTCCAATGGGCTGGCGATGAAGGCCAACGAGATCTCTGTCATTCAGAATGGTGGCATCCCTCCAATTCCTGGAAGCCTTGGCAGTGGCAGCAGCTCACCTATTAGTGGGCTGACGGGAAATCTGGAGAAGCTCCAGAACTCGGAGCCGAATGCTCCTCTGGCTGGCCTGGAGAAAATGGCAAGCAGTGAGAACAGAACCAACTTCCACTTCACCCGCTTTGTGGAGGACAGCAAAGAGATTGTCACAAGTTAAAACCTCTTGTGGGCTTGAGGAAGAACATTCCTGTTCAGAATGCGACCTACAGTTGCCTCCCCCTTCTTGCCCCATCCCTTGTCCGCTGCTCCCCTAGATCTATGAATTACTTACTACAGCATTATGAAGACATTCTTTTGTACCTTGTTCAACTTCTAGAGTTCTAAGAAAGCTTATTTATTAGTGATATAACCTTGCTTTGCAAAGAGAATGCAAGCATTAACTTTGGTCTTCTGTATTTTGAACTAAATACTAATTGACTAGAGTGTTGTAAACTTGCTGTAACATTTATGGCAATTGCAAGTTGCCCTGCTAGGCGGTCTGAATCTGGCATTAACTTATTTTCTATACCCAGTTTACTATGAATCTGGTGTTGATGCAATGCCTCCGTGATGCGTTAGATCTCTAATAAAGTCTGTATATAAATGTACACTTGAATCCTGCTGGAAAAGTTTATCAGCAAACACATTGTCTAATCTCTCAAAACAGATTTAAAGAAAGGACTGAAAGTACAGCCTGAACAATGTGGTTCTCTGAAAGGTCCAACTATTTTGATTTTTATTCTAAAATTCAACTTTTTGTTTTTATTTTTTTGTAGATTTAACCATTTCCGTTTTGAACTGCTATTTGTATTGTGCATTTTACTTGAGTTGTCCTTAATGTTAATACGTTTCTGTACAGTAATAAGCACGCAGAATTCTTTAGAGAAATACCAGTGTTGTTTTGGTAGTTGAAACTGAGACGTAACATTTTGCCTTGTAGGTATATTCACAATAGAAAATGTGTGCTGGAATTTCACAATGCTGCTAATTATAGCATCTTGAACAACCTTCAGTGGAGAAAATGTAGATGCTCTTGTATATACATACAATAAGAAATATCACTTTCATTAAAATGTATATATGTTCCTTACAAGAGCAAATGCTTCTTCCATGATCCAGAGAGCAGGTACCCTATTGGTTTATTTTGTATTCATTGTGGGAGGAAACATTGGACTGTTACATGCACTTTCTTAGAAAAGATGAAATTAAAGGCGAAAGGGGTCCAGTTTCTTAAACATTTAATATTAACAACAGATAATTTTACTTAAGTAATCAAATACATTTTAGGGTTGTTTTTTTTTTTTTTTTTTTTGCAACAGATAAAGCACTGAGTCTGATTTTAGGGTGTATTTCTATTTAGCCAAGCCCCTCAATGTATTTTAACATTTACCGAGGTACCAGTTATGATACCAAAATCTATATTATATGTGTTGCTGTAGGATCAGCACTGGCCCACTTACTACAAGGTTGGCAGTTCAAACCCACCAGCCTCTCCTTGGAAACCCTGTACCAAGGTCACACTGAGTGGTAACTGACTTGACAGCACTTAACAACAACAACAACGTAGCTCTAAGAAATTGTAAAAAGTCTAATGGAGTCCTTGTATGGCACTGTGGGATAGAGGTATAATAGGAATGGGACTGCACCTGCCTTTAAATTTGGAGTTAATTTCCCATTATACATTATGCATTACTTGTCTGGGAATGTATTTGATAGTTGTTCATTTTTCTCACACTCCATCCTCCTCCAAAAAAGAAAAGGTTGTTGGTGGTTTCTTCCAGGCCAGGTGAGTTTACTTAGGCCTGACGATATTTTGTGCCCATTTAGACTTAAGCTTAATTTCAACTGTTGGGTTTCCCCTTGTGAAAATTGGGTGGCATTTGTTTCAACCTCTGCAAGAGGCAGTGCTGGAGAATTCAGTGCTGCTGGTTATATACCCAGAGAGGACAACATGCACTTTACTGAATGAAACTTCTAGGCATTTAAACGCACGTGTATATTTGATAGAAAAAGTCAAGTGTATTTAGAGTCAACTATTTCACCGCCAAAATTCAAATTAATGCTTCCTCTCTCCCTTTAGTTTCAGGGGGAAATACATTTTCCTCCTGAGCACTATTGGGGTGAGCAAACTGGACAGGATACAAATGGTGTTTGTCGGGGGGTCAGCCAATTTTTCACAGTCATTCAGGTAAGACAGAAATGTCATGCCACTTTCAGAAGTGCACTGCCTGCCCTGGCCAAAGGTGCGGGCCTCGAGGGCGCGTAAAGCGCTGGCTCAGCCTCAAGGTCCCAGACCTGGCAGTGTAAGGGTGAGGGGACACCCCTACCACCCCTACATGAGAAAGGGCGGGTATGGGTTTTGCGCTGCGTCGTGGGGCAGAAGCACCCGAAGGAACATTTAGAGGGCGACGTTGCTAGTTCCCACTCTCATGCCCCAAGAGGGACAAGGGGAGGCGGCAGGCCAGAAGTTCCAGTTCTAAGTAGGGCCAAACCCGGTCTTGGTCTTTGAGAATGAGAAGATGGTAACCTTCCCAGTAGGTGACCTTCCCATAGCTGGGCGTGGCAAGGAGAGGGGACGTGGGCACCCTGGGGCCAGGCCTGGAGGCATCTTGAAGGAATTTTCAGACTCTTCTCAGCCAGAGCGCACACCTGGCTACCCGGCCTCGCAGGCCCTAGCCAAAGGCGTCCAGTGGGCTACACCCCTACCCGATTTCCGGGGAAGAGAACCTGCCCCCCGCCGCTAGGCTCATCTCATGACCCCTGGCTTCCAATCGCTGCAGCCCAATGCCCAGGCTCCCGTGGGGCCCGGGGATGAGGACCTGAAAGGGACCACCCTTCCCCCCACTCCGGGGCAGCCCGCCCATTTCTGCGTGGGGGTTGGGGGACACAGCGGGTGGGCAGCCAACGTGAAGGCTGAGCGGGGGTTTTCTTTTCTCGCCCCCCCAGCCTCCTAGTGAGGGGAGTAGAAGTAGCTGCTCCTTTAGACTGAATTCCTGAGAAAACCCGCAGTTCTTAGGAAAAGATCGCGCCTGAGCGTCTTGGTCTTGGTCTTGGTCTCTCCCCCCCCTCCCTTTTGCTTTCCCGCCTCGTTCTTGCCTATCCATCTATGGATTGACTATCTTTCTAATCTATTGATCCTTACCTGCCCATTCCTCTCCGTTTCCAAAACGAGAAGTCACCCTCAGCTCCGCTTCGCCTCGCAGTATACTGATTACACTTAGCCGTTCAGCTCAGCCCAGAAGAAGAAAAATGGACTTACAGTTATAAAACAACATCTTTATTTTAAGGCTTATGCTGTTCCTACACCCCCACCATGCCTTCCTGGCCCCACACTCCTTATTCATTTGCATTTTTCTTTCCCTTTCTGGAATCTTGAGATACTTTGAGATTTTGGATCCACTGTACACCGAATATACTAAACTAAGGAGAGGTGCGGTGAGGTTAAGGTCTCAGCCTTCTTGAGCCAAAAATAGTTTGGTAACGTTTTCCCATTTACTTTTTAAACTAAACGGTAATATATATATATATATATATACCGAGAAATACAGGGAATTGTATAAAACCCCTTTGCGCAGCATACAAAATGAAATTATATATATCTATATATATATATATATATACCGAGAAATACAGGGAATTGTATAAAACCCCTTTGCGCAGCATACAAAATGAAATATTAGCCACTTGTTTTTCGTTTTTTAGTAATATATTTTTTGTTCTTCCCTGTCTCACTGTGTCGTCACTCATTCCCTTTCCATGGCTTCTGCCTTCTCTTTCTTTATGTGTGTGTATTTCACCACCCCTAATTTCTGGAAAATAAATTGGGAAGGAGCTTGGTGTTTGAAAATGAGAGATTATTAATGATGTTGTTGTTATATGCTGTGGAGTCGGTTCCAACTCATAGCGACCCTGCACAGGGTTTCCGAGGCTGTTAATCTTTACGGGAGCAGAACGCCTCATCTTTCTCCAAAGGAGCAGCTGGTAGTTTTGAACTGCTGACCTTGCGGTTCGCAGCCCGATTCGTAACCACTATGCTACCAGAGCTCCTTATTATTAATGACAGACCCAAACTATACACGAAACCCTCCCTCCGCCTCCTGATGGTAGCTGGGTGAGAAGACAGGGTAGATCAATTGGAGATTTCTGAAGTTAACTATGGGCCTCAGGTTTTAAACCTCAATCCTCAAACAGACTACATTTATCCAAATGCCCTTGGGGAGCGGTAAGAGCAATTTATTTTTTTTAATTAGGATAAAGTGTTGAAAAATAAAATCCTAATAATTTTGAGTTAAGATTTGTAGTTTGTAACAGTAGATTATTTGGTTATTGTTTTTGGCATATTGTGAATGTCAAGAATGAGAGAACTTAAAAAAAAATAAGGCATTGCTTCCATTCTGTTAAAATGTAGCAGTCCTGTTATAAAAATAAAGCAAACTAGGAGTTACTTCTCCACCCCAGATGAAACTTGTCAGAGGGGTAACAAAGTGGGGGGGAAATGTAAAGTGAATTTCAAAGGGTTCCACAAGCAAAATGCAATCTGAGATTCACAGAAAGTGGAGAAGGATAAGACAGGAATTAGGTCATCTCGTCCAGACCCCAGGAAATATGTTTAGATCAAAGCCCACTCCTTTAGAATAAACAAAACAGGACCCATTGGGCCCTACCAATATTTTCATCTCTGTACAAAGGGCTGCTAATCTAACCAGCTCTAGTTGATGAAAGGGGGTAAAAATGACAACTGTAAAAATGACTAATAAAAATAAGGATGTCCTCTCAACTATAATGGCTAGATAAAGATTTAGATTTGAGCTAAAAAGTAACAAGATCCAGGCCTACAGCAACACAAACTTCCCGGAATTTTAGCACTAAGTAAATTATCTAATCCCAGCCCATTGTTCCCTTCTTGCATTCCCTACCCCTTTAGCAATTGAGCATGCTAGATGATTTACATTTTAAAAAATGGTTAAATTTTAACTTCTCTCTTAGAACCTTGCAGGAGAAAGACTTATTTTGCATTCCTTTAAAGCTTTAGCCTCCCACCAGCCCCAGACAGTTGTTGGGGTAGTGTCCTGTTTTACTGTTGTGGGTGGTTCTCTGTAAACCTCATCTTAAAGTTTGGTCTCTCTTTCCTTGTAACGGCAGATTGACTGGGGCTAGGAGCTTGTGTCGTCTAAGCCT